GCCGTCGCACCCGTACTGCCGCCCACCGACGCCCTCGAGAAAAGCGGCTAGGTCCGCGTCCCTCGAAAAAGAATTTGCGGCCCGCAGGACTCCGGCCATCAGGACTCCGGCCATCAGGACTCCGCGGCGGTGCGAGAGCTGCTGCTGTCGGTGCAGAGGAGTCGATACCGGGAGGGCGCGCCTCTGGACGATGCCAGCGACCTCAGGGCGTTCATCCGCGAACCTGGTTTGTGGAGCTCCCGCACCTTTCCTCGAGAGCACGGCATTCGGGGCCAGGATGTCGGTTCCCCACCGGACTTTTTTTGTAGTGGAGCGAATTAAGGAATCTTTCTGCTGTAACCAACACTGACATCGCTCTCCTCTATTCAGACCAGATGGTGAGTCTTAACTGTAAATTACCGTCAAAAAGCTGTCAGAACGGCTGTCAGAACACTGTCAGAACGCTGTCAGAACGCTGTCAGAACGCTGTCAGAACGCTGTCAGAACACTTTTGTGGGTAGGGTACTGTCAGAACGTTGCCAGCACGCGAGAGCGGGCCAAGTGTGAACATCTGCAAGACGCGAGCGCCGCCGCCTCGCCGATCGCCGCCGCCTTTGCAGGCTCCTTTGCGGGCGCGGCGCCAGGGGGCGGCGGCGCCCGCTCGAGCCCATCCCGCTGATCTGCCTCGGCTGCGGGCACCGCCTGCTCGGCCGCCTGGCCAGGGCAAGGCAAGCGCCGGCTGGGCTGCGGCGAGGCCGCACTGCCGACGTTAAGTCTCGCTGCCACTGCTGCTGCTGTTGCTTTGGCGGCGACAAGCGCGTCTCTGCGGCGCGTGTCGCGGAGGAGCAAGGGCCGTTTGGCGGTGGTGCCAAAGGACGGCGCGGCGGCGTCGCAAGCGGCACGTTCGGTCCCTCGTGACCCGAGGCTGCCGTCTTGGAAGCAGCCTTCGCGTCTAACTGGACCGCCGGGCCCGCACATCGCACACTGTGCTGCGGCGCTTCGGCGTGGCTGCTGCCGGGCTGCAGCTTCTTCGGCTCTGTCGCGGGGCTCCAGCCTGCGCCGCAGACCATCGCAAGAGCGCGTTTGCTGCCTCGAGGCCCCGGCATGATGGCGGCCTTGGCGTGCTCCTGCTCGACGGTTACAGCTGTTTGCGCTCCCGCTTGGTGGGATGCACGCATTTCTTTTGAGCTTAGCCTTCGATGTTATGAAAACACGCAAGGCGGACATGGCATATCGCTCTCGGGCTCACAGACATCCCTCACACCCGCCGCCCCCGCGCGCGCCCCACCCCGGCCGGGAGAAAGGGGAGTGACAGTTTGGGATGGCAACAGCCCGAGTATGTTGAGTCCTGGCTCAACAACGCAGAGAACAAGAGGCGTAGGAGTATATGGCACTCACGTACCGATACAGCTGCACTGCCGTGGTCTCATGGGTGTTTTT